TTTTTTTTTTTTTTTTTTTTTTTTCATTTATAAATAGTTTTGTCCGTGAATCCTTATACGAAATCTCGTCCGTAAGATTTATGCGTCGGCGGGTATACGTCGATATTTTTTTTTTTGGATCTACGATCAGTGACGTTATGCTCTTACAAATGTGGTTCTTCCCTTTTTTCTTTTTTTTTTTTTTCACTTCCGTCGAGAGAAATCGATCGACCCGAATGTCAAGGATATTACACGGCTCTTGGCATCCCGTCGAGTTAACGCGAGGGTATATCGACTCGCGTGAAACTCCGTGCGCGCACCTGTTCGATTTGCTTTTGAATGACTGATAGAAGACGCTAGGTGATATACGCACGGGTATAGATAAAATATTCTCGTTTACTCACTGTAATTGGTCGTAAATTAATTTTCGACGTAAACTGACCCGCGGCTACGCCGTACTACTCTCAGATACAGATTTAAAACTTACGTCAGGCAGTTTCCCTTGACATTTTCGACATCGACGTTTTACTATGTCGGATCGATTAAAAGTGGAATAACTGGTGGGATGTCCGTTGAATAATACGTAATATATAATTATAGACGTTATAGCGCATATATCGATTCTATTATCATTATTATTCCTTTGGAATTGACATCTGTCGATATCGAAGATATTTTTCATATATATGTATATTTTTTCGTTGATTGACAGTTGATACAGATAGGTAGTTTTGGTATTCAGTAGAAAAGTGAGGTTAAGTTATTCAGTATACATATGTACCTTCAGGGTACATCAGGGTACAGGGTATCTTGGGGCAGGTGTAGACAGTCAAGGAAGCAAGGGGTGGGAGAGAGAAAAAATATGGAGGGATACGAGAGTAACGAAAGGAGAGAGAGAGAGAGAGAGAGAGAGAGAGAGAGAGAGAGAGAGAGAGAGAGAGAGAGAGAACAGAGACAGCCAAAGTCGAAAGTCCAAAGAGTAAAGCGTGTAGCTCGGCTGCCGAGCTCGGAACCTTTGTGAAAAATCGTGTTATAACCCTAATTTAATTTTATGGCCGGCATTACGGGGGATTGTGTTGTATCGGTCTGGCATAATGGCCGTATATGGCCGCATATAATAATGGAGGGGGTTAATAATCAGTTGTAACGCGAACCGTCGTAAACCGCAAAACAACGAGAATCCTGGCTGGGCAGAGAAAGAAGGTGAAGAGAGAGAGAGAGAGACGAAGAAGAAAAAAAAATATTGGCTACGCTTTGGGGCCTTTGGGTTAGGGACTGTCGAAATTGAAGAAGAAGGTTAGGAGATACCCGGACGAAGAAGAGGCTAAGGGATGGCCGGAGTGCCGGAAATTGATGCACTGTGTGTTTATACGTATTTTTCTGAAGGGTGGTACCAAGACCAGCCACAGGCAGTGGGTCCGGGAAGATGGTTGGTAGGAGGCATCATTATCCTTAAGGTAGGAGGAAGGTCTCCGAGGTGGATCTACCCACCTTAGCTTCGTACCGAGCTCACTTCACCTTCTTACTGATCTTGATAGACCTCAAACGTGGCCGCTTGGCGCCGCCACTCATAAAACTTGAGACCTAATCAACCTAACCCAACCCATACTCGGGAGAGAGCCATAACCCAAAAATGACGACAATGGGATCGTCTGACGGTGACGACGTGATGACCAGCTGGCTGATACGGGATGAGGTCTTCGGAATAAAGGTGCCAAGAGGGATTCCATGTTGCTTTTATTTACTTATTTATTTGTCCTTCCCCCCCTGGTCCAACGGCGTCCCTCGTCCCTTTTGGATGGAGCAGGTCTGCTACCAAATTGCCAACTGTCTGGGGAATTTTTTCGTGGTACCAGCTGGGCGTTCCGCGACCTCGTCGGTTGGCAGGACGAAGACGGAGCTTGCGCGATCGGACGCGGATTCTTGGTCCTAAGATGCCTCATGGCGGAGTCCGACCAAACGAAATTACTATAATACCGGTATGGCGTCGGGACAACCTGCATATTCCGTTATTATTATCGATCGAGCCCTCTCGGACCGAGTATTAAAGTGGCTTCGCTCTATGTTTACGCCGGATCTCCCGAAAAACCATGAAATTACGATAATGGCCGCGTACGCGATCCACCTTAACAATGCCGCGCTCATCTCCCGGGCGCATAATCACCGGTATTTTTTACCGATCGACGTTCGGATTATGTGAGTCCGTCGATACGATATTCACGGGAACCCGAAGCACGTAAATTCATCGGATCATTCCTCGTGGCTTCCGAGAAGGCTGGATCTATTCTTACGTATAATACGGGGTATGCACTGAAAGTCGTTACCTGGTACCTTGCTTACCACCTATGGTTATAGATGCGTATACTATTACGGGACTAATTGAAAAGGCCAGACCCACGAAACGGATATCGTCCCTTAGTCCTCCTGGAGGATCTACAGGGGTATCTCGAGTCTACGTGAAAGTCGTAACGGTGGAAAGTTTCAGGATGACGTTTCGCATAAGGAGACGGATAAAAGAAATAATATCTAGACTCTCATAAAAGCGATACGCGGACACGCGGAGGATGGCAGTGAGTCTGGGGTATGGTAGTGGAGGAGCAAGTATAGGCAGGGAGAAAGAGCGAGAGGGAGAGAGAGACTATAGGTTGAGCGAAAGAAGAGAAAAGGAAGAAAGACGAAGTGGAAGCAAAGGCAAAAGTAAAAGTACCAATGGATATATGCCCTGGCTCCTCCATACGTAGAGAGAAGTAGAGGGTCAGCCAGGCAGGGAGTTCGGCTTCGGCTGCCGGGCGCCGTAAAAACGTCAATTAAAGTGTTTTATTTGATCCTTCGTTAGAACGTTGAAATGGAATTTTGATTTATGACCGGTGCAGCGCTATACGCGCGTAAATAAAATAAATAGGAGACTATAATTAGTCGGTAGGTCTAAGCTCGCTGGCCCGATGCGATCTCCCAGTGTTTGCGATAAACAGTTTTATAGATCGGCGAGCTATACTAACCTATACGATCAGATCGTTAACAATCGATCCGATCCAATCTGTCGAGATACCAGTGGGGCTCTCGGCTCGATTACGAGAGGCTGTTATGCGAGATCAATTGAAAGAGAATGAGAAAAAAAGGAAAAGTAAAGAAAGGAGAATATTGTTACGAGGAACAAGTGCCACCGAGACATCTCTGTTAAGTGAAGAAACACCGTGTTAGTCAGACATCCAGCCAGCATCCATCCAGCCAGCCGTTCAAACGTTATTGTTTATTGTGGGCCAACAGCAGTCTGATTTATTATGTCAGTTCTACGCCTATGCGTGAAATAGTAACATAATCCCTTTGATTTGTGGCCGGGCATTGTTCGTGGCGCCACTTCATCGAAGATACGTCCGCTCGTTCTTTTCTCTCTTTCTCTGTCCTGAGCCCTGATCAAAATTTCGGGCTTTTCAGTCAAATCATTATCTGGATACAAAATAACCGACAGCAGCGACGTATATTCGCTTTCCGTTTTTCTGTGTCCTTCGTTAAAGCTCTTGAATCGGTGATTTATCGGTTCTCCAATATTATTTACAATTGTGCAGATCGATCCGTTTTCAGTCTCATTAGCGTACCTGCGTATCCTGAAAAGTGAAGTTGGAAACAGAAATGGAAATTGTTCCGTGAAAATGAAATGCTTGACGTTACCGTGAATTTATGGTGGCGCGACGACCCTAGCCAGCCCAACGCTGTTTATTTGAAGAGCTCCACCAGGAATGATGTTTAATAACATAGGTTTTAAGAGAACTGCGTGCCGGATAACGCGTGCAACGTGTTATCGTTCAGCAATTGGGCCGCTAGGGGCAGTTAACGGGTCCGACGATCCGCCGTTGACTGGAACTGGAAGCCACGATGTAACCCAAGGAGTCAGAGCATAGGACGTTACTGTACAAACAGAACGCATACAGGGTTGATGATGATGAAGAGGAAGTAGGAAGCGTATACGTATAAGCAGTCGTGACTGAAACGAGCTGTAGAGTTGAGAACGATTCTAACCCGGTAAATACCTTGTTCTGTTGTAGGTAAGTAGCCGTGAGGTCATCAATAAGCTAACTTACTACGGAGACGAGTATTATGGTGCGAACCAGCAGGAGGTCCCTTCCGTTTGACGAGAGCCATTCATCCTCATCCACCTACGCGTAACCTACACGTGGCTACGCATGTGCTCGGCCATTGTGCACCCATCTATCATACGTCACAAATAACCTGGTTAGGTAGGTCGATCGGGCCAGGATAGAGACCCTGCATTGTACTCATGTTTTCTTCGATTTACCATTATGCATGAGTCTTATTGCAAGGCATAACTCTGGGTTAAGCGGACTTGGTCAAATTTAACATTTAAAAATTCCACCGTTGCTAAGTGGTTCGTGTCCGGGATAAATGAGAAAATAATTTTCTTGTCTGTTGGACTGGGACAGTTCACTGTCTGAAATAAAGAATTATGTTGGTTATTGTTATTGGTATATTGTGTATGGTAGTGTAGATTGTATTGAGTTATGCTCACCAGCCACCTTCTTCTTGGTCTCGGGATCGTCAAGAGGGTCTAGGATTGGGAAACGGCGAGAACTCGGTGATGACCTGCCAACGGCTCGCGCATTAGCCCGACAGATAGCGCTGCCTAATCGGCCCCCATAAATTACCAAATTAATATCCCGTGTTGCCGCCGCCAGGCTATCCGTCAGGTGTCAGCCGTGGTGCAGATAGCCGCCACCACTACCTACCCGGTGTCATCCACCTTGCCGACTGACAGACAGAGACCATGAACGGACAGACGGACAGGGGCTGTTAATAAAACGTGACCCACCGCAGGGGGGTGCCACCATAAGCGCTACCTGACCGTTTCTCTTGCTAACGTAACAAATCTGACTGCCATAACATAACCGTGAATTCATCGCCGAGGAAAGCCTCGTTCCATCATACAATCTATGTACTCACGTCAGCTGTCCGATCCTTTTTCTCTTAATAGCAACAAGAGTCAAATACATTGTCACATCAACACAGTCCGAGCGACTTCTTTATCCTCTCGAGTCCTTAGCCAATCAGAGCAAAGATCCCGAGTCACGTGGGCTGCGACGAACCAATCACCGTTCACTAATAACTGCCAGGAACATATGGACGCACAACATTGAGATACTGTTTCATCGAAATACTTTTACCGTTCTCACACGTGCACATATGGTACTCCGGATAATCGTAAGGGTCACGTGCCAATGCGTCGTTCTTGTATTCTATATAAGAAGGCGAACTCGAGAAAAAGCAAAGGAAGGGACCACCCAGCGTGCTGTCCTACGCGATCCGGCCGGCTCGTAGGTATGCGCAGAGGTACATACTTGCTCGTCAGCGCTCACTCGCCCACGCATTACGCATAACGCATAAAGGAAAACGACGAACCTCTAACATCCTTCTCTCCTGCCACCCTTCGAAGAGAATGCCCGACGAACCGCTTACGAATTACGCGACGAACAGTAAGCAAGCAGGCCAGTCAGACAGGCAGTCCGGCCAACACTGAAAAACCGGCTCGCACTACACGAGCGCCTCTATGCGACATGGCTGCCAATTAGCAAGCTGACATCGAGCTGACTGACCACCTTGGATGTTCGGCGCTAACCAGTCACTCTTTCTTCGTTCTATACTACTCACGTAACGTTTTAAAACTTCTCACTCTTTTTACCCTTTGACCTATGAGCTATGCATATATTTAATTTACACAAATTCACTCGTACGTCCACGTGTATATATACACATTATCGTCGACTCACTTTCGTTATATCTCAGTACGCCATCTTTATTCACGTCTGTCACTGGTCTTCTCTCATTTTTCATCGGCCTCACCTTTTCTCGTATACACCGCGTGTCCGTTTCGTTTTTGATAGCTAACAATCATATCGACGCATTACGCCTACTCGGCCGGCGTGTACGTACCGACCTCGCGTGGACGTGAGCGTCGCGACGCCCACGATGCCACTGACCTCTCATCCTCTTCTAACGCTTCGTACACAGAAGGATACCTCTTCATCCGGATGAGAATAGGTTTCTTCAAAGAATAGATATGATTTATATATCTCCCTGTGTATATAGATGACTCTCGTTGATAATATCCAAGTCATTTGACACTTGACGTATGAATGACGATTTTATCTATAGGATTAACCGTATCATTCAGCTATCTGTAGCGATAGATACCAAGTTTTTTATATAAGAAAAAAAATTTTTTTTTTTTCGAATTTACTTAGAAACTCTTAATCATTCCTAACTCGTTGTCACTGATCGTCAGTGACGTCCGAGTCATTCTGTAAGTATTCACTGATTCACCGATCGGATCCGATGACGTAATCGGGAATAACGAAAATGTCGAAAAACCCGCATGGGGTTTTAGTGAATTAGAAAAAAAATTCAAATTAAAAAATTAAAACTATCCCAAGTGTCACTCGCGAAAAAACACACAGCTTGATTATTCCACTTTCCAAGCGGACGGAGGACAAAAATTATCACGCAATTGTCCCGTCGAATTACTCGCACGTTCTGAAAAGCCAATAAAAGGCACGCTCGTCCCTCGCGCCGGTAAAGCCTCATTGCTCTACGTCATTTCCTTTCCTTCCTTCTTTGTTTTCTTTTTGTCCTACCCTTCCGTCGATCCTCCCGTATTATTTTCTGCTTTATTTTTCTTCCGCTGATCTCCTCCACCGTCGATGCTTCCACCTTTCGCTGTATAGCAGCAGCGCGTCACGTTATATTACCCAATGATAGTCGCTAATTGAGCGCGAAGATAAAACAATGGCTAATAAACCAGCGCTTCGTATCCTACCTTGGTTCGGGCGCCGGGACGCTCGCGCTCCCACGGGACGTCGTATAATCATACATTGCGAAAACCAATCCTCCGTCTCTGCAGTCGACCAGGACTTAACCATCGCTTTATCGACGTTTGGCATGAAACGCAATTTTTACCCGATCCACCCCTCCCTTCCCCTCATTCTCCCCACTCTTCCTACCTTCATCCACTCTCCATATGCCTATATCATTATTTACCTACGAGTCGCGCACTAATAATTACCAGCACTTTGCTCTCAATTTCCACATATTACTTTTTTAACACCCGGTACCGATCGATGCCAATATATACATATAACTATTGTATCTTGATCTCACAATTTATTATATTATCAACACTGTGTAGAATCAATTAATGAGTGCACTATTTTTTTAATCCGATATCTTGAAATTTTTCTTAAAAATTATTTCACTACGAACGGTTGAACCGGATCCGACGTCCCTTCGGACAGACGCCCAGGACGCCGACGACGCCTGATCGACAGTAAATTTTAGACGGTCTCGCGGTCGAATTTTGAAAAAAATTGTTTTATCTCGCGATACTGTCCCATCTTATTAGTCGTATGCCCAGCGTCGGGACGCTCGGCGTCGCCAGTAGCCTTTCTTCGTAGGACGCGACGCCGAGCGTCGTTTTCGCTTATAACGTACACGCGTACTAGCGAACCAGATCAGGCCACTTAACTTCGCACCCGCGTCCGGCCAGGACGCCGGCGTCGTGGTCGTCGTCGCTCGTGTTTTTGCCGGCGTCGTCTATAAATAGACCTTCCGACGCCGGTATCCCAAGCGTCGGCCGACTTCAGACCGGCTGTGCGTTGCGCCACGTCGGCGGGTGGGTTCGTCACTTTTGCGCAAGGTCGCGTCTACGTGCGTTGCTCTTCTTGACGTCACTGGTATGACGTCACGTCCGGGAACTCTCGCGCCTTCCAGACCCTGTATACTCAATTTACGTGTATACCGTCAGCGATGTCTTCTTTCGGGTCATCGACTATAGGGACTAGATCCCGTATGGGTACGGGGTACCGTAGTGGATTTTAAGATCCAGCCGAGGACAGGTAACCCGACACATCCGATGCATCGGACCAGAATGATCTTCGTCGCTGGCGTTTTATACGATCGATGAAAATCAATCTTGCGACAAAGCGATGACGACGATCTCGCATTGAATAACGAATTTTAGGGAGGCTGATATATTTTTTTTTTTCTTCAAGGTTCGTCGAGTACAAGTTTTTTTTACGTATGATCGAGGTCCAACATTTTTCGTATGGAAGCAAAGGCGGACGGGGTCGACTCGGAATCGGTATGGAAGATCTGCGTGAGCGACTTCTTGGTCCTGTCTTTCTATGCTTCTACACGGAAATCAGGAATGCTCGATAATCATCGGTATATCATCCTGTACGGAATGCCTACATAGCTTTACCCAACTGTATACCTTGGGCTGCCTTTCTGCGTCTCTGCGTGTGGGTCAACCTTTATGGTGGGCATAACTCGTTTGATTTCTCTGGAGATTATCTTGTTATTTATTGGAAAGCCGGATCCGGCGTCTTCGCCTACCCGAAAACCGCGCATTTATTGGACGAGACCACCGGCCAGGGAAAGACGTGGATCATCGATAGTCATTGACGTTTATTCGCGATGGATTTGCCATTTTTGTAAATCGCACGCACGACGTATATCTGTATACGATCGACCGAACGGGAGGATGACATATGTTGAGAACTTTATTATTCGTTGGTTAATTTTTATTCTCACTGTAAATAGCCTCGTGACTATTTTGCGGATTGATAAATATTTTTTTTTTTCAAATTGGCAAGAGAAAAATACATTTTTGATTTTCTGCCAAATTTTTTTTTTCTCTTTTTTTTTTTTACAATGGCTCCCGTAGGTACGTATATAATTTTAACGTGGCTATAAAACGTCAAAGTAACGTTCATCCGTTAACGCTGGTCCTAACCTCAAAAAATGCTCGTATCTCTTCAGTATCGTTTCGTCACGACGATAAATATTTCCTCGTTAGCCGAGGAACAAGATTGAAACTAAAAACAGGAAAAATTTATTAGCAGCCTCTTGGAACAATCCTCCGTATCTTCGGACATTGAAGAAAGTCTTTCTAGAATGTTCGATACGACCCGCAAGCATTGTTCTGATAAATAAGACAAAAAAGGAGGATAAAAAAAAAGAAGGGAAATCCCTACACAGCCAAGAAAAAGGCCACAGCGAACGAACCGTCCGCCGTACGTTGTCTGCCATAAGGCCGATGCACGTGGGGCTGCGGTTAGGTAAACACTAAACGTTAATTCTCATAAGCCAAAGTTCGTAAAGTCGAACTAAGCGAACACAGTTACAGTCCGGTAAGATGAGACGGTACGGCGTCGCGACGCTGTACGTGTAAAGGGATGGAATATCGTGTGCGTGTAAAACGTAGGTCGCTATACCTATATAGTGCGTCGGTATTAGTAACGGCGTGAAGTAGTCGCGACGAGGGACGTCGGCGTCGGTAGGTAGCAGTCGACGCCCAGCGTCGTCCTCGTCGACTGGTACGGGGTCGGCTCTTGGAAAGTTGTGTTATGGCAAAGGCCGCTACGTGCAGGCTGCACAACTTGATAATAATAAACTGAAAAAGGAGCAAAAGACGTTATTTTAAAAGGGAAATGCAGCGCCGCATTTTTATGTCTTCGCCAGAACTTTTCATCTCCGCGCTAAAGGAGACGCTGGCTCGCTCGGGTTACGGGAGGGGGCGGGAGGCTCTCTTGCCAGGTTCCTCCGGCGTTCGGATGGAGTTCAGATGGCTCGAAAGTGCGCGCCACCGGGAGGAATACTGGAAGGAGCTAAAACGTGGAATGAAACGGCAGACTGCCGCTGATGAAATTCATAATTTAGATCCAATGCGCCTCTCTGTACCTCGTTTAGAATACACTACTATTTATAGTCGAAATTTTCCTCCTTCCGTACAACCCAGGATATCCAACCCCTCCGTGGAGCAACTTCAGCATCAACTGCCCCTGCCCCCAGCCGTACCTTCGAATCCCCCCGGTATACCCCCCACCGGCCTTTCATTCCTCTAAAGACCTCACAGCGGAAGTACGGAATCAGCCAGAGACGGAATTTCATCGTCTACCGAAGACTATAACCTAAAAAAAAGAAAGGCTAACACAAGAGTCTAAGACAGCGAGAAGCCCGGAGCGAACGGACACGAGTAACTCGTACGCTCATTGATTTCTTTATTTATGTCCTCGTTTAGACAGGGATCTCGAGGGTTGGCTTTCCTTCTTTTCTTTCTCTTAGTCTTCCGTCTCTTTTTTTTCCTCCTCTTCGACCTTCCCTACTAATCCTCTTTGTAGCGTCCGAGAGTCCCGCGAGCCCGAGACTATCAGCCCGATCGACACTGGGCTCGCTTCGCATGCAGGAGTAATTGGCCGTTGTACGCGTGAGCTTGCACGCACGCACCACGTGTGCCGAGTGCGATCCAACCTAGTGCTGAATTACACGAGGCTAGTCGAACGAGTCGATGGGTAATGGTATAGTGCACACGTGGTCTTGTGTATGTATATACGTATGGTACTTAGGTATATCATAGGGTTAGGTTGGTTTAAGTTCCTGTACTCATAGAAGCACAAGCTGCCAGAACGGTCGTATCGGCCTGGAGCCACGTTAACCCACCGAGTGACGGCTGGGTGGCACGCATCTTGAAGAACTGCCCCTTCCGTTTATCGTTGGCTGTCGCGTTTTATCCGGCAGTTATTCCATCCCTAATAGGATGTAATATTATACGGAGAGTCACGTCCACTTGAATTCGCGGGCTTTAACGGTGACTGGGCACGAAACTACCAGGGTACGATCTTGGCTTTTATACCTTGTTGGTTTGTAATCTCCTATTGTACGTATAGAGGGAGACAGGTCCTTCATTTCTTTGTCAAATAATATTTATCGTTGCTCCCTACTCCTTCCCTGCTACTAATAGTAATTAATTGTAGACACTTACCGTGTAGTATTGATTGTCCAACAATTTTACGCCATGTTGTCCTAGTACTTTTTTTTGGATTTCTCACGCGAGCATGCCAGTTTGAAAATTGAGACTTCACGACAGCCGATCTCTTGGGACGTGGGACAGTAATTGCCAGAGTGACCGTTGGTGGCGCATCGATCGACACGCGCCAATACCCTATGTCTAGTATGTATAGAGTACAATTCCAATTCGAAGGCACGGCCACACGCGTTAAATTGACTGTAATTGCGTTCAATGTTACACGTGGACAGATGATTCAAAGTCAATTGCGTGACCACAGCCAGTGCGACGAAGAAACGTCAACGAAACCAATTGAGTTTACGACAGCGGCCGAGGGGCGGCGCCACGATCGCCGGTACCGAACGCGGTTATAATGAGAACGCGAAAGATATCTACTGGGGGGATTCAGTGCAAGAGCATCAACCCCTTGTCATCCCTAGATACGAATAAATACGACCACGTGGTGTGTACCGTTTCTGGTGGATTCTCCATATTCCCCAAACTCCATCGCAATTTCAATTCTACTGCTCTGGCTGTCATCTACGTGTATACGTACACACGTGCTAACATATGTGGAGAAGATAGACACGCGTACCGCTGTCTGTATATTAGAAGCCGTATGTCCATAATGCCGGACCGAACAATGGACGCTGAATACCCGATTGCTGGGTACATAATGTGCCGAGCAAGTAACGTAGGAGGACGCTGAGGACAGCGTCGGGACGCTAGACGTTCTGGCAGTTTACGTCGATCAAGTAGCGCATCAGCATTCAGCGGTTATTTTAGCGCTTCCTTTTTCTGCAGTTTTAATCATTAGGAAGCCCACGTCAAAATGTCCGCCCTGCACGGTGTCGGGGCGACACCGGAATGGCAGCGATGCCGTTTGTCGCAAGCTTTTACTCCTCCTGTTCCCCGTATCCATCTATGACATATATGCAACTATATAGGTATACAGTCATATACACTTGGGACACAGCAGATAGGTACGTAAACATATGTGTACTTACGTGCGATCGGGATCCGTTTCAGGAAATGGGAGACGGAATTGATTGTAGGAAACTGGACGTTTCTTTGTTCGTTTACTGATTATGTGACGTCACACCGATCGCTCGATGGATAAATGACTCTGGATAATTAGACAGAACTTTTAGTGACATATCTTTCGTAATTCAATCTGACAGCTTTTTTCCCCTGCTATTCGCCTGTCCTTCTCTCGTCTATTTTAATCAAGAGTTACACTCGATTGACTTCTCTTAGCTGTTAGTTCTTCTTTTTTTTTGGCGTGCTATTATATGTCATATGGACCTTTTACTTCTCACCTTCGTAATGCCACTCGAGACGCTACGAAGTTCAGGAAACAAAGTAACGGTCCCGTAAGTTCGACTTTCATTGTCCCTCGGTCGGTATGGCAGAGAGGTATTTCTTTTTCTTGACGATGCCGGTACAATAAATCCTCGTAGTCCAGGTAGGAGCGTGGTCGTTGGACGATAATATTCGTGTCTCGAGTGCGCATACATCCTTACCAAGAAGAGAAAGGGTTGGCGATCAGGCAGAAGATAACGTTCATAATGAAAGGCATTCATTCCACTGCGAACCCAACAGTGAACTTGAGTGACGTGGTTGCAGACAGCTGCCCAAACCTGATCGGTCCGTCCGTAAGTCCGTGCGGCAGTCCGTCCTTCCGTCCGTTCCGTTCGCTCTCACGTGATTCCTTTTATGATATCGTATAACCAGCCGAACCGGAGCCCGCTCACCGGGTCCGATTTAAAACCGGCGCAATCTCCTGCAAGGTGCACACCGTCCTCGCCATTCTATCTGGCTCGAAGAATTTTCACGCGCGAGATAGGCTTCCATCTGGCGGCGAATTCTGTAAGCTAAGAAAAAAAGATAAACGGTAGCAGCTTATGGAAACGCCTGTACCTATTTAGCGGACGGTGAATCCTTTGGTGGATCGTTCAATTGGAATTTCGACAGAAATATAATATTTGACAAGACATTGCTAATTGAGAGCATCTGCGATTCCATCTGGATACACCGGGGATCGGTTGCTCGGGGATTCCCCCTCTTACGGCTTTTATTTAGGTTATAAAATATTTTATGACGTTTTCATACGATATAGGCACGTCACCGTTAACTTTTTACGATACATTCACCAGTCGTGGTGACGTCATCGCGCGTCAATACGATCACGGGTAAATCGTATTTCGCGTTCTATAGGTTAATATTTAATATGTAACTTGAGGTAGGTTTCTATGATCGGTTCTGGTTGAAGCTTCGAGGATTCGTATTTCGCCGGGAATCGGGAAAGGGTCGACATGGCCGTACGCTGATCTCTGCGATTCACGTCGGTAGATGGCAAAACCAAGGTTTCCACGAGGAAACTGGCCTAACCTCTAAAGAATACACCCACGCAACCAGGTCGAGTTCACTACCGGTTTTGCAGCTGTGTTCACACTGGACCTCGTACAACGACGAGTTCAGCTTAATATAATACCATGATACACAGTGCCACCTGGCGCATCTTCCTCTTCGCGTATTCCTTTCTGTGCTTTCATAAGCGTCTTCCGCGGAAATTTTTACTTCCTGGGAATGACGTTTTGTTTAGATAACAATATGCAGGGTCTCATTCCGACATGGGGTTACATTATTAATTGAAGATTAGATACGAATTCTTGAATCTTATTTCTCTTTGTTCTCGAATCGTCAATTTCACTGTTGGGTTAGGGTTAGGTCCTCGCGGTTCTGTTCTCGTCCAGGAACAGACACTTCGAGGAGGTCCGACATCGAGATTTATCGCTTTTCTCTTATAATAGGTACGAAACGGGTTGCGCGTCGTGGGTGGGTCGAAGTACTGATGACGGAGGTCGCGATGACGGCGTTACGAGGGAAGCTTCCTTAATATGTAGTCATCAGGGTTCGTCATCGTAGTCGTCAGTTCGGGATGCATCTTCTTTTCACTCGACTCCGCTCGGTGTACTATATAATTTAAAATAATGATAACAATGCATAAGTTACTACATCTTACAATGAAGTCTTAACGACGCGCATGCGCAGCAGCGAATGCTTGCAAATGGCGCGTAAATTTGAATACAATTTCAAAGTGCGCGAGCTTCTTGTCGGCTAATGATAATAAAGAGCGTGGTACGAGGTCAAAGAGGTCGCCATTATTGTCTCAGAATCGGCAGCGTCGCTCGTGGCAAGTCAAGAATCGCAGTCACAGCCAACGACGGCTTCTTATTCAGTCGCACCGGCGGCATTGCTGGAAACGTTCCAGTGATTTTTTTCTACCGTGGCTCTTTTGAACCTGGACCGAAGGGAAACTACTCTGGGGCGAGCGTGACGCTGACAGAGTTACGCTTACGCCATCCTCGCTTCTATGGAACGCGTCGAACCCCTCGGCTAAGGCTCGCCATAAATATCAGCGGTGACGTTTGGGGAAGAAGAAAAAAGGAAGAGAAAGAATGAAAGAAAGAAAGAAAAAAAAATAGAAAAACTTGCTCTCCTATAGACGTACTTCCATCCACGATATAAAACGGCAGCAGATATTAAACGTATCCTTTCCTAGAGCTTAACGCCAAGAGATTCCTCCACGTTGGTGTTGACGCTCCTGGCAAAACATTCTGATCGGTATAAATCTTGAGATTTTCCTATAAAAAAAAAAAATATTGTATATAATTCTCTAAAGACATACGTAGACACAATAAATATAAAACGTATATATCATTGCTATTATACCATCTCTCGCAAACTGGGCCTTTTATCGTGGATGGCGCTCGTGACGTAGGCATGTATCTGCAGCTCGAACGCATTCTACAGTCTGTTGTTAAAGAGAGAAAGAGATAGAGTAAAGACAGTGAAAGAGAGAGAGAGAGAGAGAGCGGGTACCGTTGAGATCAAGAGAGGATAGAAGGTCCATGAGGGATGAGAAATGGAGTGGAGAGCGGGAGTGATTTATGCTAAGTTGCTGACGCTGGCAAAGCGAGCAATACGCTCCCAGCGGCCATCTTGGGCCCCTCGTTTTCGCTCTGCTCTCGAACCGATTGATGGACCATGGGTCACTCATATAGTTACAAACTTGTTTCTTATCTCCTTTGATTTCTTGAAAACCTTCAAAAGTCATATACACAAATGTACTCTCTCTCGCTCTCTCTCTCTCTCTCTCTCTATCGTTCTCATCCTTTACTCACTCACTCTATTTCCCAGCACTGATCCAGGCAACAGCAACATCATCCCCTTTTCTTCGACATCCCTCTTCCACAAGTCCTCCACCGCTGGTCGTACCTTACACCCTGGGCCTGTCGGACTTCTGTCGGTCACTCGCAGATTTACGACGGGGCTTCGGACCTGGGGGTTCTGGCGCAACAATGAAGCCGCGCCATTTGTCACAGAGGCGCTTCCTACTCCTAATAACGTTGCCGTTCCAGACTATACGCTATATCGTGCAGTCATGCTTGCTGTACGGCTCGACCTTTGCTTTGGCACGGATCGTGATCTCATCTCCTTTTCCTACAAAGTATATATGGGTATGTATATATATATATAGTCTCACACAAAATACCTACCTTCATTCCATCCCTTTTCTTAACTATCTCACAGTCGCTCTTATACACTCCTTCCACTTCCTATACAGTGGTCCACGTACAGCATCCAACCTTCGATCTCATTCACGAGGACCCTTCTCGTCAGTTCCTCGTCTGTTTAGCCCATCTATTGCTACACGTATTCAGTATGCTTTCATGTGGAGCACGAGAGGATCCTTAGCTGAAAAGTACCGAAGGCCCAGTACTATTTCGTAAGATACAATGCAACGACAGCTTTCTCTGGAATTGTCATACAAATTGTCGTATTCACCAGCCAATCCAGTAACGTACTGTATACCTGTAGGGGGGCACACTGTATTACCTTTTGTAGATTCAACTGTATTATCTGTCCTTCGTCAAGGACTCGTATCTCGAATATTATCGAGACAGAAAATCGATGGTCCATACTGGATAATTCATTAGTCAGCTGCACGTTTATCAGTCATATGACGTACAGTGTGTTCCAGCTAAGACGTACTTTAATGAAATTATCTTAAAGGGGTTCCCTTCCGACATACCGAGGCTTCACAATGCTCATGAATACGTCTGTTTAATAGTTCAGGGAAGCGCCGTGACGTGGCTCCACGTCAACGTCTCTTTTTTTCTTGGTTATCATCACTTGGCCAGCACGGGAATTCTTCTAGATCCACTCGACCACTCACTACGAGACACGGAAGCATTGTGGTGGATACACGGGTTCTCGAATTTGTTTCCAGGACACGACGATCACTACCGGGAAGGATCCACTTTCCTGTCCGAGGCGTTCAAATAAATCTGACAACGATGTCACTGCCGATGTCAATAGAAATTCTGAGGAACAGCACGGGATACCGACTGCGTCGAGGTTATAGGAGGTGGAAGGATTCGGAGAGAAAGAGTGCAGCGGTATAAAAGATTGGAAGGTGGAAGTCACTGTAGGAGAGACGTGGGTGGAAGTCAGATAGAATCGAGGATGTAAAGGAGAGGTTAGGATGCCCGACGAGAAGGCTCGGGCGAACGTATCCCACAGGAGCGATTCCCGCCGCGGGAAAACAATACCGGCTAACGAACCGAACTTTTAACGGTAACGCGAGATCCTCGGGGACGAATAGCGAGAGATAAGGGAGAGACTGAGAGAGGAAGCGAACGCGATGTCAACGTTAGACCGAGGGAGGAACTGAGAGGACGAAAGTCAAAGAGATAGGACTTCGCTTCTTTGCATATCGTCCGCTCATCGATACTTCGCTTTACTACGGATTAGATGGCAGCACGTTCGGCAGCGCCGCCAAGTGTGGGACGACGTAAGCTTATTATACTTATGCTCCTGTCCTATCCACAGTCACTGCAATCGTTACATTATACTAGGGTCACACCCGTCTACATCTGATAGGTAAACTCTAGGTGTGGCGATAAATGGTATTTATTTTTTATCTTATTCTTACATTTCTATCTTGTACATATTAGAATTTTTTTAAGTATATTTATTAATTGATCTTTGCATGGTCTTACTGAAATATTCTGGGCTTTATATTATACTCTTGTTACTTCAAGTATTACAAATCGAGATGTATATGAACCGATCACAATAAGTGGACGTGACAGTTTCCGATGACCGTACGTCTGATATATGTCGCCACGTGTGGACGTATGTTAAGAAAAGTGTAGCGTCTATCAGGACAAGGTCCATAAGCGTGGTAGAGTTTGGGGAGATGCGACGTCTGTAGCCTATGAGAGAGTGAAAAGGAGAGAGACAGAGGGAGTATATCATTGAATGTGAAAGACAGAGAGAGGGAGTGAGTGAGTGAGAAAGAGTGAGAGAGAGAGAGAGAGAGAGAGAGGGAGTATGAAGAAAATCGGCAAGGGGTCCGCGATGGCGAACAGAGCGAACGGACAGCTCGCTTATTTATGGCGACCATACTTCAGATATATGAACTGGTTCTGTCGAAAGTTCGGGATGCATCTTTTCCCAGTTCAAATGTATAGAGAGGTGTCCCGCCGTTCGCTTTCAGCGAGAGATTTGTGAGGGGTCACCTTAATGTAATATTGAATGAGCTTCATTTTTTTTTTTTTTCCGTGAAGGAACGCCCGCTCCCCCGTACGAGGAGTGATATAAACTGAGCACTCGCCAATCTGTTCGGATCGAGAGTCGAGAGTCGCATTTTTCAAGCGAGAAGAATCCTAGGGTCCTTCAAGATGGCCACCATGGGATGACGAAGTTGTCCGTAAGATTCGGTCGGTATACGCGTCATAGATTATAATTTTTATAAAATAAATCAACGTTCTTGGATATAGCTCGTTTGCTTGTACACGGAGTTGTATATTTCTCTTTTTTTTTTTTTATTTTACCCGTAATACGAAGTCGCGAATGAAAGTATCCTCTCTCTGCGACTCTTCCGCATCAGACACTTCGGTGCCGGGTTCCACTATAGGATTGGCTAATTTATGTTTATCTGCTGCCTTTACGAGGATCCCCCTGCTGCCCCTCACCTCCTCCTCGTGTGTCCAGCAGGGTGGCGAGGCCGGTTATCCCCCGTTTCCGATATTCGGCCAAAAGAAGAGTCTGACGATAGAGCGGATAAATAGATAGATGGGCAATATTATAACTCACCGGCTGTCATCCGGTATGGCCGAGTCCGGCTGCTAATCAGACCCTACTCGTTCACCGGGAGTCATCCCAGGATCCCCTTCAGGAAAAATGGATTTATTGCCATTTGCCTCGACTTCGGCACGCTATCGAGTTCCCTGATCCGTAGAATTTAACCAGCGCCATTGCGACTCGTCGTTACCCACCCTCCTCTAGCTTCATTCTCTTTCTCTCTCTCTCTCTCTCTCTCTCTCTCTCTCTCTCTCTCTCTCTCAATAATGTCCCACCACCTAGTTCTGACGTCCTTTCGGCTTCAATGTCTCGGAAAGCACCAGGCCCCGTAAGCAACTTGCGCTAGTCGTTCCTGGCCGTGCGCGAAAAATTATGGCCCCCCGGCATAGCAGTCGACGCCATTGCTTCGTCCATTTCCTTTGCTCCTCCTTGACGACATCTACCTTCGTGTTCGCATACCTTATTCAAGATTGCTCAAGTAAAACTCCCTAGACTCCAGTACCAACCCCCAGCGCTGCAGGTGTACCAACACGAACATTATCACGACACGGAAAATTTTTCTCAACGAATGCTCACAGAGTAACTTCGACCGGTCGATACTTATCGATCCTGATATTGGATCGAGATTCGATAGGTTACGTTAGGTCGTAAAAAATGACAGTACAATGCATACAACAATACATCATGCAAAACGTGATATCGGTATCGAGTATCACGTGGCGTATAAAATCCTGGAATGTCAGCAGCTTCGCCATACCTGAACATAACCTAAACAACTGGAAGAGACAAGCAAGCGGCTGCTTCCCGTACAAGGACAGAACTCTCGATACGCGACAACTTCGGTTACGTGTATCGATATACCAATGCTAGAATAAAGAACCGTCCCGTATTTCCGGCGCTAGTATCGGCGCACTCTTATTTCACCAGTGCGCCTTAACTCCGTGTGTTTTTTCAACTAGATTTATTACCAAACTCCCGGTGCTCCTGGACGCTCGAGCTAAACCCTCCGAGCATTTCTTTCCGTTCCTTTATCACCGACGCGCATGCGCGTACCGCGCGCGAGCATACGCGTCACTCCGTCAGGAAAACTTTTCCACAGCTCAGAGTGAACCAGCTTTTCAAGATCCTCCGGATAACTTCCGACTCGCCGGAAGTGTAACTCAGAAGTATCTCGCCTCCTTTATAAGTCCGAGACTCGCTGAAAGATTCACGGTACGATACATCCAGTACCTATACGTACCGCGGTACTACGGCGTGTCATGATTCGATGGCGGAGATACAAAATTTATACATGACGTCACACGCGGTACGATTTTCCAAGCGTCACAACGTGGCGCGCGCGCCGCCAACTGACTGAACGCGGAGTTACGTCGTGGTTTACTACTTTTTCGCTATATAGATAGGTGGCAGGTTATGCGCTCACACAGACCTTAAATGCAGCCGTGGTAAAGGACGACGAAGCATCACACTCTTCGGTTTTACGGTTCCAAGGATATGCACGTATATACCGAGAGAGTCACTCATACAGATTCCTATGCATTGGCGCATGCATATAGATATACGTACACAGCAGTAGAGAAAGGCAAACTGTTGGTGGGGTGGACGGTG